CTGAGAACGTAAAACAGCAGGGGCCGATCCTGACAAAGCATGGCAAGAACCCAGTGATGGAGCTGAATGAAAAGAGGCGAGGCCTCAAGTACGAGCTCATCTCTGAGACTGGAGGCAGCCACGACAAGCGCTTTGTCATGGAGGTGAGGTTCCTTGTCCACACTTGCCTGGGGCCGGGGTCTGCATGGTACCTGGGCAGGATCTTCCCCCAAGTGGTCCCCAGCACAGCTGTCTTTTTCTCTCCAGGTTGAGGTGGATGGACAGAAGTTTCAGGGTGCTGGCTCAAATAAGAAAGTGGCAAAGGCATATGCTGCCCTCGCTGCTCTTGAAAAGCTTTTTCCTGATACCCCCCTTGCCCTCGATGCCAACAAAAAGAAGAGAACACCAGTTCCTGTGCGAGGCGGACCAAAATTTGCTGCCAAGGTAAGCCCTTGCCCCTGACCTCACTGCCCAGTTCTCTCAGTTGCATGGGGACCTGTGTTCTGGGCACATGGGCAGCCTGACCCTACTGCTTGCTCTTTTCTCAGCCACACAACCCAGGCTTCGGGATGGGCGGCCCCATGCACAATGAGGTACCCCCGCCCCCCAACCTCCGAGGGCGAGGCCGAGGTGGCAGCATCCGTGGGCGAGGCCGAGGGCGAGGATTTGGAGGTGCCAACCATGGAGGCTACATGAACGCTGGTGAGAGCCATTTCTCTGTTGTGTGGGACCCCAGAAAGGGCAGGCCTGGGCTGGGCCCACAGCCTACCCTATAACCTGCCTGTTCTTTTCCAGGCGCGGGGTACGGAAGCTATGGGTACGGTGGCAACTCGGCAACAGCAGGCTACAGTAAGTTGTTCTTCTCTGTCTCCGTGTGGGAGGAAGTGGCAGCTGGGGGGGGGGACGGGACCTGAGTTAGAGCAGGGCGTGCACCCTCCCTGAGGCTAAGGAGCAGCCAGCACCTTTTTGTGGTGATAGGTCAGAAGGCCCTTGTGGCCTGCCCCACAGGTGTCCTTGACTCTTAGTACTGACACCCACTGTGTGCCTTCCAAGTTCCTTAGAAGTCAGAATTTTAAATTTCTCTGCTTTGAGCAATGTGGAGCACCAATCTCATGAATGCGCCTTTCCTGCCAGTGCACCGCTCTTGTCTTGAGAAGGAGCCTTCATTGGGGGTCACAGGAGCAGAGAAATCTAAAACATGAATTTCAAATGTGGCGCTCTGTGCCCTTTTTCAAAAGAATTCTAATTTCTTCTCTCTGCTCTGTCTCCCCCTTTTGTAGGTGACTTTTTCACAGACTGCTACGGCTATCATGATTTTGGGTCTTCCTAGAGCGTCTAAAAGTATTGCACACAAAATCAACTTTTTACTCCAATTTCCTCCAACTCCAAAACCCAAAGTGTCCGTGCTGTGTCCCTGTGCTTCACTGGGTTTCTCAACCGTGGCTTTCCACCGCAGCTTGTCTGAAACTCTTAGCCTGCAGAATTTAAGACAATGGCAGTTTTATCGTGATTTGCCTTTGAACTTGGTCATATTGAAGTTCACACTAAGTGGAAAACAATTTTCTCAGAGAATGTATTTTTTGTGCAGACTTGCACAGAATTCTAGAGCCAGCGTTGTTCAGCATCAAGGCAAAAGCCCACCTTTGCTTTTTATGGAAAGCATTACTTTATTTAAAGAGACAGTTAATGATGCATTTTAATCTACCTTTGTCTTAATTTACAGCAGGTTTTGTATGAATTTTTAACCTTTTAACAAACTCCCAAATCTGGTTGATGCCTTTGACAGTGATGAAAATTTCACCACATCTGAATCCAGAGCAACCGACCTTCTTTTTAATTAAATGAGCATGTAAAACGTTGGGAATGTGGGGAATTGTACATTGCGCTGAGTTACCTCCTCCCGCCTTTGTAACACTGGTGGGTTCTTGCTTGGGGTGTGGTATCTTGTGGCTGGTTTAGCTAGAGAGTGAACTCTCAAAGGTATCAAAACTGTGCTTCCATTACCTGTGCAAAACATAGACAGGCTTTAAAGGGTAGAAAACACGAAATTTTGCAAGTCAAGATCACAGCCGTAAGTGAATGGAATCTGGGTTGTTTTTAATGGGGATTTAAAATTCTTCAAGCAGAAAGAACCTGGTCCATCTCAGGGCTCTGGCTGAGGAGTGGGGCCTGCCGAGCTCACACCAAAGGCAGCAGTGGCCTGGAGGCTCGCCTGCGAGGGCGCGGGGACCTGGCGGCTCCTTGCTGGTTAGGGCTCCTCCTTGGATGGGCTTTGCTTCCACTCATCACTCGTTTCATAGTAAAGCCTGCCTTTGTGTTGACTTGCAAGATTTTGTGTTTGTTCAGGCAAAAACTGGTCAAAACGGTTACTGTATGATTTGTTCCCCAAGGTTTGAAACATTCAGTGAAACTTTTTAAAACTCTGATTGCATGATGTATTTTTTTTTTTTTTTAGAAAGTTATTGTTTGAGAATAATGTCTTTTTATACCAGGAAATAGTTATCCTGAATGACGTTGAAAACTTCCCCTCCTCTTTATTTTTTTTTAATCAATACATGTTAAAGTAACAAGCCCGCCGTACTTGCGTCTTCATTCATTCTGGCTTCAGGCGGGGCAGGTGGGGTGCTCAGTGCAGGACACTTGGGAGGGGGTGGAGTGGGGTCTGCACTGAGCCTCGCATGTTTGCTTTCTGCATCTTGGTGTCGTGGCTTGTGATAGGATGGGGAGGGGCTGCCTGAAGAAAACTAGATGCCCAAGCAGAGCAGTCCTGTGGGCCAGTGCTTGTGACTTAGTGCTTCACACACCAGCATGGGATACCGTACCGTCTCCAGAGATGGGAAGCGCGTCAGGGATCTCTGGTCACACCCTGAGCCACAGAAGGCTGGAGCCCTCAGAGCTCTGCCTGGGAAGGAGAAGCAGGCTGTCTTCCCAACTACCCTGGGTCCAGTGGGGCCATTGCCCCCTGCTCCCTGGGTCCAGGCCCACCTGCTGTGGGAGACTAGGAGCTTCTTGCCAGGTGCCACAGAGTGTGGCCGCACTGGTGAGCTATTCACATCCTGGCCTCTGGCCTCACCGGCTCGCTGATTTCATACAATGTCCTGTCACTCCACCAAACTCTGGTGGGACAAGGTTGATAAATGTAGTAACCAGATGCCGTGCTTGCAGTAGCATTCTGGGCCTCAGGACTAAGTGTGCTGACAGTGCGGTGCAAGCTCATCCATCCGTCCTGCAGCTCAGGCTCGTCTTGCCCCACAGCCGCTGTGCTGGGAACAAGGAAGGGCATAGGTCTGCCCTACCCGAGCCAATCTCCCCTGCTCCTGAGCCATGGCTTTGTGTGCAGGCAGACCAGAGAGCATCCTGTGTCACTGGTCTGAGCCTCACCTCGCTCTTCCAAGAATGAGGTCAGAGCCCTTGGTCTTCAGCAACACTGGTGGGTTTAGGGCTGTACCACTGGGCATCTGGAGTCCCCCAGGCTTGTGTTTATCCAGCCTGTTCCCAGCACAGAGGGAGGAGGTGGGGGTGGCTTGCTGCTTCTCTGGGGCTTCGCTTTTCTTGTCACCGTTGGGGACATCTGGGTAGCCGTCAGTCCTGAATGTCATCTGCGCTCGGAGCCCATCTCATTGTAATGTTGACACCTGCTGCAAAAGCTGCTGTCGTGTCGCTGCTTGGCAAAGATCCCTTGTTGTCACAACTGATGGGTGAGTGGAGCTGAAGGCTGGGCCTGCCGAAGCCAGGCAGCCTTCTCCAGCAGAGCCCTGCTCTCCTCCGGTCCCCTGCTGCCTCTGGGCAGCAGGCTTGCAGGTCAGCCTTCAGGGCCCACGGCTGCCACCCTTTTCCCCTCCCCTTTTCCCTTCCTTGGCCTCCGCCTGACCTGCTGCCTCCCTGTCTAGGTCAGTTCTACAGCAACGGAGGGCATTCTGGGAATGCTGGTGGTGGCGGCGGCGGGGGCGGTGGTGGCTCTTCCGGCTATGGCTCCTACTACCAAGGGGACAACTACAATTCACCGGTACCCCCAAAACACACTGGAAAGAAACCACCGCATGGGACCCAGCAGAAGCCATCTTACGGCTCAGGCTACCAGTCCCACCAGGGTCAGCAGCAGTCCTACAACCAGAGTCAGTACGGGAACTACGGCCCGCCACAGGGCAAGCAGAAGGGCTACAACCACGGGCAAGGCAACTACTCATACTCGAACTCCTATAGCTCGCCAGGAGGCGGGGGCGGCTCGGACTACAGCTACGAGAGCAAATTCAGTGAGTTGGTCCCTGGCGTGCCACACAGCCCAGCGCTGCCCAGGTTTCTGCTTGGGCCTTAGGAAGAGGAAAGCCATGTGGTGGGGATCATGAGGATCCTGAGCCAGGAACCTGGCCCAGGTCTGTGTGATACTCATCTTTCTCAAGGACAGGTGTAGCTGCAGCTCCTGTCCTGTCCTGAGGTTCTGGCCAGGCATAGGTGGAGACTGCGAGGCACTTTCCTGGGACTGCACTAAATGCAGTGCCACTTCTGGCCCTCTGGAAAGAGCTAAACTCTGCCTTCTACTCCCTCTCCATGTGGGACTGTGCAGGCCTCCCTGGCAATGTAGTGCATTTGTCCTTGTGAGCGAATACGAGGGGAACTGTGCTGTGCATGAGAAGGCTGGGAAGCCCAGGACCACCCCAAGTGGGATTTCAAACCTAAAGCCTGTAGAATTCAGAACAGTGGCAGTTTTTCGTCGTGATTTGACTTGAACTCTGTCATGTGACATTCACACTGAGTGGCAAACCTAGTTCAGGTAGGACGATGGTGGCAGTATGAGAGAGCCGAGTGCCTGAGCTTGGTGACCAGCCTGACTCAGAGCAGGATGACCTTGCACGGCTCTGGGTTCGCCCCTGGCATCACTTTTTGGTCTGATAAGTGCCATGTTTTAGCAAACAGATACGTGTAAAGTCTGGGGCTGGGCTGTGTCCAGGGGCGCCCTTTCAGGCCCCCTAACCACACTGTCTTCTCTCCCCCAGACTACAGTGGTAGTGGAGGCCGAAGCAGTGGGAACAGCTACGGCTCAGGCGGGTCGTCCTACAACCCAGGGTCACACGGGGGCTACGGCGGAGGTTCTGGGGGCGGCTCCTCATACCAAGGCAAACAAGGTGGGCCTGGGCAGCACGTGGCACAGCTGGGGGGCCCAAATATGCTGTGATGGGGACACCACGTGGCAGTGGCAGAGTACCATGTAGTGGGGCCGCAGCAGCAGTCCTTACATTAAGTAAGCCTGGCCCACAGCAGCTCTTGGGCTTTTCATTTTTAGAGGACAGAGTTGCCAGATTCTTGGAAGTGCAGGCCCCTCTTCAGAGGTGCTGGTGACAGGGCTTCCCTGAGTTATGTGGAATGTGCTTCGGGAGAGGACTCAGGCACCCTTGGATCTGTGGCTGGGCAGGTCACCACTTCTGTCACCCTCCTAGAAGCCAGGGTCACTGTGGCCCTGCTTTCTCAAGCTTTTAGTGACAGCCAGACCTGAGGACAGGTGAGGGACTCTGCAGAGCAGCTCAGAAGCCTACAGGGTGCCCTGCAGGGAGCTGTAGTGGGGGTGGGCCTCATCCTTGCCTCTAACCCATCCCCTCTTTTGTAGGAGGCTACTCATCACAGTCCAACTACAACTCCCCCGGCTCTGGCCAGAACTACAGCGGCCCTCCAGGCTCCTACCAGTCCTCACAGGGGGGCTACAGCAGGAACGCAGAACACAGCATGAACTACCAATACAGATAAAGCCCCGCGCGGGCTGTGGCCTCCGCCTTCTGCACTTCCGCCCGCCCGCCAGAAGATTGAGTTTGACACATCCCAGTTAACACGTCCGCAGGCCCTCCCGGCGCCCCACCTGTCCACATTGCTGTGTTGTGAGGTGCAGCGGCCTCTCCGGGCCGTGCCGTGACCCCTGTTTAGCCGTGTTTGGGACTCCATGTCTTCAATGGTTTGTTAGTTGCCATTACAACCTTGTCTGGGTAGAGTTCTGAGTTCTTGCCGTTCAGTATCCCTCTGTCTATTTACACTTGGTGTTAATGTTGACTCCGTTTGTCTTGAAATAGTTACGGAAGGGATACGTTATATGTTAATGCTTTTGTGAAGTGAGTTAAATGAGCTTTCTGTATTTTAATGCTTTAGTGTTTCAGTTTTATAAGTGAAGATTTTATTTTAAAAACCAGTGGGAAAGAGTGGGGATTTTTGTATGTCTGGATCGTTCAGACAGTATATCTGAGTTCAGCCGAATGTAGACAAATAAAGAAAAAGTAAAGTGCGTCCGTCCCAGGCCTGCGTGTCTGATCTTCCAGCCAGGCTGTTCCTACCCTTGGGAAGCCAAGTGAAATGGCAGGGTGGTCCCTGGTCCCAAAGGAAGAGCCACCTCCAGACATCTTCACCCCGTAGCTAGCCTAGCCAGGTCCACTGCCTTCCTGCTCAAGCTCTTAGCTGGCCAGAGTCCACCTGGGCCTCTTGGCACCAGCTGCTGGCAGTGTTAGGCCCACGGTGGCCCTCGCTGGCCTTTACGCGGGATAAAAAGTGCAGGTCTGCCGGATTTCCCCCTCCCTGCGTTCTGGTGTCGTTTGTAGTGTGATCTCACATCATCGTAAGCAGAATGTCCCTGCAGGAGCCGCTGCTCTGCTGTCCACGCTGTCCTCAGCCCAGGGAGCTGGGGCTCCTTCAGCCCCCTCTCTCGTGGGCTTCCCTGGAGCCACGGCTCTGCCTCCAGGGGCACAAGCTGTAGTGGTTGAGGAGTAGAGAGTATCCCTGGCTTCCGGGTCACGGCCCAGGCTGCTGCCCGCAGAAGAGCACTGCACTGCAGGAGCGCCGCACCAAAATGTGGACAGCGAAACCCAGCCGGGGGACGGGACTGGCCTGCCCCAGGGAGAGGCAATGACAGTGCTGTGATGGCATCTGTCTGGGAAGAGCCTGTGCACCCCTCAGCACGCACTGTCCTTGCCACCTTGCACCTCTGAAACCTGAACTGTGCCCCAGGCACACTTGGCTTCCCTTGGTGACCTTGTGTGCTGGGAGAAGGGACCCTGTGTCCAAGGAACTACTGCTTTCCCCAAGGTCAATTGAAGACTGGCATCGGTGAAGGGAGAGTTTGTGCCCTAAAACGCAGAAGGGTGGTGCTTTCCGCTTCTGCAGAGACCTACACTGGGGAGAGGGGAAGAAGAGGTGGCTCAAGCGACAGCATTCAAGGGACTGTTGGTGCTGTGGACCCCACCACAGCGCATGGAATGATGGGCCCAAGCAAGGTGCTGAAGCAATTGAGCTGACAGTTCTCCTGGACACCTGGACAGCCAGATCAGATGACATCAGTAATGTCAGAAGTGGGGGGAAAAAAAAGCAAGAAGACCTCAAGGTGGGGAGGCTGTCGCCCAAAGCACACAGCAGAGAACACGCATGGCTCCTGGCTCGGCCCAGCAGTGTTGGGGTGTTGCCTGCACCAGCCTTTCCTTACATCTTCGGTCCAGGATCAGCCACGGCCTGCAGGTTCAACTAACTGGCCCTATGAAGGCCTCAAGATCCGGCTGCATGGGAGGCGCCTGCCCCAAAGGGATGGCTGCAGAGCCCCCACCCGGGCATTCTGAGCCCGCTTGAGGACCTTACTGGTGCTGAGGGTCCTGTGATGCCTGGGACCGCTGGCATCATCCCAACCCTTAAGACTTGCTATGCCAGCGGACTGGGGCGTTCTGCCGCATGTGCCCGGAGCAGCTGACGGGGACAGGCTTGTGGCAGGGATTGTGCCAGGGTCAGGGTGCTTTAGGTAGATGGTTTCTGCATCCAGCATCCAGAGTCACCGCAGAGGCTGCCAGGAGGGTCGCAGACCCCACCGTAGAAGGCTTGAGGCACCTGGGGGTGAAGTAAAGAGGAGCATGCCCTCTGGCTGAGGGGGTGTCAGTGATGTCTCTGAGGATGCTGTGTTTCCAGCACCCGGGTTAAGTGGTGCCCTGAACGGCCTCGCCCAGGGCTGATTAGCCTCTGCATGGCAGGAAAGCAGTCTTTGCCCATCAGTGCGCACCCTTGAGCTGCTGGCAGGACCTGTCCCTCCAAGTCGCCCTGCCTGGCTCTGTAGCCAGGCGTCCCTCCACCCTCACCTCAGTAGGCTCAGGTGCTCGCTCTAACCCATCCCCAAATAAACGCTTTCTTTGTGTGTTTCATCGGAGTCACCTAATGTGTATTCTGGGGTGCTTCTGGTTCGGGTCCTGTGTGGTGAACATGGTCCCTGCCCCGCGTAACTCCCAGGAGCCACGCGGCCCTGAAAAGTGGTCCTCAGTCCTAGAAGCTTTCATCCTCAGTGAGGCGAGGTGCTGGGTCAGGCCGGGAAGGCGGTGCCTGGCAGAGGGAGCCGCGCTGGCCGGTGCAGACGGGTTTCCAGGAGCCACAGCAAGTGGGTGAGGATACTTTTTTTGAGTTAGCCAGAGCAGGGGCTGCTAGGCAGGGGAGTACACGGGTGAGGAAAGAAGGGAGCCCGGGATACCACAAGAACATCAGTTTATGGGCTGGGAAGATGGCTCAGTAGAATAAGTGCGTGCCTGGCAAGCGCAAGCACCTGAGTTCAATCCCCGGTTCCACAAAAAACAAAACATAAGTTTAGGCGTGCAACCCTAGAGGAGGCAGAGGTGGCCCCCCGTGAGTCCAACCTGTCACACACGGGGTTGATGGCCCTTTGCAAAAATTTGGTACCAGCCTCTAACGGCCAGGGCTCCCTAGTCCCGCAGCCTCCTGCGGTGCTCGCTGCCCTTCCAGCCATTGAAAGGCGCAGAGTGCCCTGCGCAGGGGACTCGGCTCTGAGCAATCATCGGAACTCCCGCCTCATAGGGCATACCCTTGTGCCGAGAGCCCGCAAACCCCACTAGCGGTCCCGAGGCCACGCCCCCTGTGTGCTTCTAATTGGACACTTCCGCAGGCTCCGCCCTGGGAATGTCTGGTCCGTGGTCTCAAAGGAGCATGTGTGGCGCTGTCCGTTGTCCTGAAGCCGCGCGTCCCTCACCTCTTTCACGAGCAGGCTCAGGGCGCCCCCAGCTCTCACAGTGAACTGCGCTAGTGCTAAGCAGGCGCCATCGAGCCTCTGCTGCGCGCCTTCTCCACGCTGTAGTTTACTCCTCGGTAACAGGAACAGCTCACTTTTCTTCTCCTTCCCGTAAATGGACCCCACCCTCCCATAAGCCGACCTTACCTCTGCGAATGCAGAGACCTCCGAGACCGCCCATGTTCAGCACGCTGTCATCGCCCGCCTTGCACCTCAACCTCTCCCGCCCCACACTCCCCTTCTTAGCACTGTTTTTTTTTTTTTTTTTTTTTTTTGCAGAACCGGGGATTGAACTCAGGCCCTTGCGCTTGCCAGGACTTTGCACTCTTTTTTTTTTTTTTTTTTTTTTAAATTTATTTTATTTGTGTGTGTGTGTGTGTGTGTGTGTGTGTGTGTGGCCAGCTCAGCCTGCCTGGGGGCAGGGCTGGCTGGCATGTGGTGCTGTGGGATTGAACCGCGGTCCACGTGCTTTGCTAAGCTTGTTCAAAGTAGGTGCTTTAGACCACTGAGCCATCTCACCAGCCCTTTGCACTCTTATTTAACCGACATCTCAAAACTCCTGTCCTTCCCTATTGTATGATGTAGCTTATGTCTCTTACTGTTTTCACTCAAGGGCATGGATTTGTTTAATTGAGTTGGTGTTCATAATGTTGATTGTATGTTCCTGAGTGTTTTTTTTTTTTTTTTTTTTTAAGTCTCCCTATGTACCCCAGGCTGGTCCCCAAGTCGTGATATGCCTGCCTCAGCCTCCCAAGTGTTGGAATTCTCAGCCTCCCAAGTACTGGAATTACAGGCATGCACCACCATACCTAGAACCCTGTATAAATTTCCAATGATTCTCAACTTTTTTTTTTTCCAGTACTGGAGACTCATAATTTTCAGGAACAGGGCCCCTGTGAAACCCAGGGTTGGGCTGGAGAGATAGCTCAGTGGTCTAAAGTGCCTGCTTAGGCAAGCTTAGGCAAGCATGCAGGAACCTCAGTCTGATCCCCAGCACCACATGCCATGCCAGCCCTGCCCCCAGGGTGGGCTGAGCTGACCACAAAAAAGAAAAAAATAAATAAAGGAAACATTTTTTTTAACAAAAATAAAGAAATCCAGGGTTGTCTCAGACTCTTGCTCCTGTTGGTGCTACAGTGGTGTGCCACCACAGCAGTTACTCAGTAAATAAGTATGTGGGGCCAGGGAGATGGCTCAGTAGAATAAGTGCTCCCCTGGCAAGCACAAGGGCCTGAGTTCAATCCCCAGTTCCAACCCCCCCAAAAGAAACAAGAACCTGTAACTGTTCCTATCATTCTTACTATTACAGTGAATACGTGTGAGATTATTTAGTGCAATCAGTAGAGGAACATGGAAGCAGAAAATTAAGTTATCAAAAAAATGTTAATGCGCTGGGTTTATAGCTTAGCGGCATAAGCTCCTGCCTGGTAAGCTCAAGGACCCAGGTTCTATCTCCTATACCGCATGCCATGCTGGTCCCAGAACCTCAGGCATGCCAAGCTGGCCACTGAAACAGCATGGTGGTACATGCCTGTAATCTCAGTCCTGGCCCCACAAACCATATTTATAAAAAAGTGTCAAGAGCTGGGGAGATAGCTTAATGGCATAAGCACCTAAGCGCCTGCCTAGCAAGTGCAAGGTCCTGAGTTCAATCCCTGGTACAAAAATAAAAAACCCTAAAGTGTTGAAAATATCATGTGCCCAGATAGTTAAGTGTGACAGGATAAGAAGACACCCTAAAAAAACCCAAAAAGAAAACACCCTAGTAGGCCAGATGTGGTGGCATGTGTATGTAATTCCCACACTCTTGGAGGCTGAGGCAGGAGGGTTACAAGTTCAAATCTACTTGGACAACTTAGTGACACAGTAAGACCTTGTCTCAAAATACAAAAGGGCAGGGATGTAGCTCTGTACAAATGCCCTGGATGCAATTCCTGTTATTATTAAATAGATAAATAGCTTTTGGAAGTAGAGCTGCTAGAATTTGCTAACTTAACACACATAGAAAGTGAGAGAGAGCCGGGGAGACAGCTCAGTAGAATAAGCACTTGCCTGGCAAGCGCAAGGGCCTGAGTTCAATTCCCGGTTCCGCCAAATAAAAAGAAGAAAAAGAAAAGAAAGTAAGAGACATTGTCAGTGTAGGGAAGTACACTGACCATTAGGTCCCTCCTAGTCAGCTTCAGATTTTTTTTTTTTTTTTTTGTACTGAGAATTGAATTTATGACCTTGCACATGGTAGGCAGGCACTTGTGCTGCAGAGCTACATCCCTGGCTTATGTTGTGGTTTTTTTTTTTTTTTTCAGGTGAAAGATAATATTCATTTATTTCAACTTTAAGATATTTGATTATCAGTGAATTTGAATACTTTTCCAAGAATTAATCAGTCAGCTGTATTTCCTTTCCTTTCTCCTCTTTTTGTTTCTGAGGCAAGGTCCTGCTACATAGTTCAGGCTGGCCTTGAACTCATGGCAATCCTTTTGCTTCAGCCTCTTGAGTGCTGAGATTATAGGGATACACCACCATGCACTGCTTGAATTTTCTTAACCTTATTTAATGGGGCTTATGTTGTTTTATACACAATTATTTCAGGATAGAAACTGGTTTTGAAAAAAAAACTGGTTTTGTTGCCTCCCCACCTTTTTTTGAGACAAAGTCTCAGTGTGTGGTGAAGACTGTCTTGAACTTGCTTATGTAGCCCAGGCTGGCCTCAAATTCATGAAGATCCTTCTGCCTCAGCCTCCCAAATATTGGGATCACACACACACACACACACACACACACACACACACCTCAAACTAAGGGGCCCGTTATTACTCATTTACATCCCCAGCCATTTTAAAAGTTAAATTTAAATGTTAAAATTTAAATATTAAATTTTATTTTGGGGCAAAGTCTCACTAAATTGTCCAGCCAGCCCTTGAATTTATTTATTTTTTTTAATTTATTTATTTTTGTGGCTGGCTGGGCCAGCCCTGGGGGCAGAGTTGGCCTGACGTGCAGTGCCAGGGGTTGAACTACAGTTCCTGCACTTGCCTAAGCTTGCCTAAGCAAGAGCTGTAGATTGCTGAGCTATCTTGCCGGCCCCAGCCCTTGAAATTTTGATCCTCCTGGCTCAGCCTTGTGAGTACCTGAGATGTCAAGCATCACTATACATTGCACTGATGAATACCATCCGGGGATTGAACTCAGGCCCTTGCGCTTGACAGGGAAGCACTTATTCCACTGAGATGGCCCCTGTAACATCTTGATGAGTACAGATGCCCAGTGCTGTCTAGATCAAAGCTGTAAAGAGAGGGCTGGGGAAATGGCTCAGTAGAATAAGCGCTTCCCTGTCAAGTGCAAGGCCTGAGTTCAATCCTCGGTTCCACAAAAAAAAAAAAAAAAAAAGAAAGTAAAAAAAAAAAACCAAAACACCTAGAGTTGTGGGTGTTGGTCAGTACAAGGTAAGTGCCCACCAACCACACGGGAGATCATGGGTTGGATGCACTGCTAAAAAAATAAGAAGTATCAATTTTTGGGGGGGGAATTTTTAGGGAAGGGTCTACAGGGTGTTCAGGGTCTCACTACTAGATCAGACTACTCATAGTGATCCACCTGTTTACAGCTTCTCAAGAGCTGGGATTACAGGTTCATGCCACCAGACCCAGTCTCAGTCACCGTTTTAGCACACCCTGAGGGCAGGGCCAGCAGGACAGGCCTGGGGATTAAACCCCGGGTCCCTGTGCCTGCTTGCAGGTGCTTTAATCCGCTGAGCTATTTGGCCGGCCCCCAATCCACTGGGATTATGAATGTGAATGCTACACCCAGCCTGGGGCAGGTAGCCTGAATGCAACATAAGGGAGACAGACTTGCTCTCTGTTGCCATTGTTACCACGACTCCTCCCTTTTGCTCGTTTTGCTGTTTTCCACCGCCATGAGCTGCTGTCCTCTACCATGTGCCAGTCTGCGTTGGAGCCCACTGAGTATGGACTGAAACCTCCACTGTGAGCCAAATAAATATTTCCTTCCTTAATTTGGAAGGAAATTTGTCCCAGCAATGAGAGAAAAGTAACCAAGACACATGGAGAGCTCAGAGAAGATAAATATTTCCGACTGAGGCAACAGTAATTGCAAAGACCTGCAGCGAAGCTCCCAGGTGGATATTTTGGCGATTGCTCCGGCACCCTGAGAACCTGGCATCATTAGCCATTGTTATGAAATAATTGGTTCGAGGGTCTCACAGAGCTAGTCTTTCCCCAGCAGCCCAGTCTAGGACAGCTGTCACATCAGTGCAAGTGTTCTGGGGCAATGGCGCGCTCTGCTGGCCACCATGAGCTCCATTTCCAATAATATCGATTATATGTTATGTATTATCAATAATGGAGCATACCTAGAGTTCGATAAATCCATGCCACAGTCTCCCTCAGTCCCATGAGGCATGCAGGCAGGTCCAGGGGGATTTACATGTAGGTGTATATGCTGAATGAATGAATGAAATAAATGCAGATAGGTTTTGGGCCACAGCCTTCTTTGTAAACCCGAAATTCCTTCTTTCATCGAGTAAACTAATGATTATTGAGCATTTACTATGTGCTAGGAACTGTTCTAAGCTCTTGGGGAAATGGACAAATAAGAGAGGACAAAATCCTTTCGCAAGCCTTGTGTAAACCTATGTAGTACCGCCATTAAATCTTTACAGCGCCGTTATGTTGCAGTGCGATAGTTCCTAGTGGAGAACATCATGGCTCAGAGAGGCTTTCGGTGGAGACAGAAAAGTAGTGCTGATGAGATCTGTAGGCAGCCACTGAATTTTCGCGATAGCGCGCGGCGGAAGAGAAAACGAATATACCGGAAGACCCGCAGAAGCGTCGGTTGCCATGGTCCCCAGACACTCTCCTGGGGCTTCGACCCGCCTCCTGCGTCACGTGATAGAAGGCAACATGGCGCCGCCCACAGTGTTCCACCGCTCACGTGGTTCCAGGAAGCAAGATGGCGGCGGGGGCTGCTACGCCGGCTTCCCTGGAGTCCGCCCCGCGGATCATGCGGCTGGTGGCCGAGTGCAGTCTCTCCAGGGCCCGAGCAGGCGAGCTGCGGCTGTCGCACGGGCCGGTTGCCACTCCTGTGTTCATGCCAGTGGGCACTCAGGCCACCATGAAGGGCATCACAACCGAGCAGCTGGATGCCCTGGGCTGCCGCATCTGTTTGGGGAATACCTATCATCTGGGGCTGAGGCCGGTGGGTGGACTTTGGCCCGGGAGGGCGGCGGTGTACGGCGTAGGGGACCCTCGGGCATTGCCTAAGTCTGGGGACACTCCCACACTTTAAGGAGAGAGAGGGGGACGGAGCACCCCGGGGAGCCCAGGCCTCGTGCTGGGCGAGTGCAGCTGCCGGGATCGAAGCCGGCCAGCGCCTTACCAGCGCTATCTAGTCCTGTCCACCAGTGGCCACTTTCTTACCCCAACCAGGGCCCTGAGCTGATCCAGAAAGCCCACGGTCTCCATGGCTTCATGAACTGGCCTCACAACCTACTGACGGTGAGTGGCGTGGGGGCCGGGAACCCGAAGGGGTTACAGTCTGTAATCCGAGCACTCGCACTCGGGAGGCAGAGGCAGGAGTGTCTCCGCAAGCTGGCGTCCAACCAGTGCTACATTATAAATTCAAGGCCAGCCTGAACTGCACAGCAAGGCCCTGTCTCAAAAAATTAAAAAAAATCACAACCGAAACCCGGCATACCCACTGCTTGACAACCGTGCGGTGGGGTTTCTCCCAGGACAGTGGCGGCTTCCAGATGGTGTCCCTCGTGGCCCTGTCTGAGGTGACCGAGGAGGGTGTCCGATTCCGCTCCCCTTATGATGGAGAAGAGACCCTTCTGAGCCCCGAGAGGTCCGTGGAGATCCAGAACGCGCTGGGTGAGCAGAGTGGGGAGCAGTCCTTTCCTTCCCTGTGGCAGGGACGCAAGCTGGGGGGCCCTGCTCCCCAGATTTTGGGGAGACCCTCCCTCTCGCCAACTGAAATCGAGGAAATGAATCAAAGTCGGTGAATTTCTTGGCACAGTATCTGATAGAGCTTAGGCTTTTCTTTCCTTTTTATTTGTTTTCTCTTTTTGGTAGTGGAAATTGAACCGTGAACAAAGATACATTTTGTAGACATTTTTGTATAAAAATGTGTATAGTTACAATGGGGTATGGTTCACCGGCAGGTCACAGCCCTTACTATTTTCTTTGTTCTTCGTTTTTAGAGACAGGATCTGAGCTCGGTAGCTTGAACTCTCTTGACCCTCCTGCCTCAGTCCCCCAAGTTCGGGGATGACAGACCTCTGCGCCACACCTGGCACATTCTGAGCTTTTCTTCTATGTAACAGAACAAGCTTTGATTTTTCTTGACTTAGTGCATGTGTGTGTGGGAGGAGGGGTACCGGGGCGGAAACCCGGGCTTTCCACTGGGCCACATCCCCAGCCTTTAATATAGACCTGACACCCACACTAGAGTAGGGAGGACTTCTTTGGGTTCCTGGCTCCTAGGGGCTCTGTCCATGTTTGGGCAATGCCAGGCAAGAAGCAGGGGTGCAGGGGTGTGGAGGAGGAGAGCTGCTCAGCTCTGGCCAGGCAGGAGGCAGAGAGGAGGGGGAGCCAGCGGAAGGTCCCCACTGCCAGCTCATAGAGAAATCCCTGATGAGTGAGCGCAGCCTGCTGTGTCAGTCATGAGACTCTGGCCGCGGGATGCCGGGATGGGCTTGGGCCTGTAGTCCTCCTGCCTAAGTCTCCCCTTACAGGCCTGTGCTACCTCACCCAGCTTCTGAACAGGGTTTTTGTTTTGTTTTGTTGGTACCGGGGATTGAACTCAGGACCCTGCACTTGCCAGGCAAGCTCTTTGAACAGGGTTTTAAATTGGGAATGACAATGAGGGTGGGGTGGGAGGTCAGGTGCACATTTTATTTCCTTTTTTTTTTTTTTTTTTCTGTTTTTTGAGGCAGAGTCTTGCTGTGTAGCCTGGCTTTGAAACTCACTCTGCAGCCCAGTGTGGTCTTGCAGCGAATGTCTTGCCTTCTGATAGGATTACAGACTCAGGCCCCTGTTCCCAGCAGAGATATACTTTTTAAATTTACTTTTTATTTTTGACTTTTTAAAATGCTCTGACTGGATCTCAGAGCTTGGGCAGCTGAGACAGGAAGGTCAAGAGCTCAGGAGTAGTCTGAGCTGCACCGTCAGCTCACAGCCCACCTTGACTACCTAGCGAGACTGCTTAGAAAACACTCAGTTGGGCTGCTTCCTCGGTAATCTGGGACAGCTCCATGGGAGTCAGCAACGCCTGTGAGGGGATCTTGTCCCCCACCAAAGGTGGCCACCCTCCCAGCGAGTGCTTTGTCTCACCGCCAGGCTCAGACATCATCATGCAGTTGGACGATGTGGTCAGCAGCACTGTGACCGGCCCGCGTGTGGAAGAGGCCATGCATAGGTGGGCCCAGGTGGGGAAGGCAGCGGGCCTGCAGCCCTGTTCCCTGCCCGAGGAGCTGGTGACCAGGGCCCTCTTGCAGGTCTGTCCGCTGGCTGGACAGGTGCATTGCAGCCCATCGGCGGCCCGACAAACAGAACCTCTTTGCCATCATCCAGGGCGGGCTGGACGCCAGTCTCCGGGCCACCTGCCTTGAAGGTAAGTTTGGTCTTTGGCGAGACAGGGCTTGTCCCTTGCCTGGCTCCCTGGGGGCTGGGAGTGTGATGCTGATTGGACTGTGGTTATCAGTAAGGAAAGGCATGTACTGGGAATGACCCTTAAGAGCCAAAGCTATGTGGATGTGGGTGCCTTTGTTTGTTTTCTTCTTCTTTTTCACCTCCTGGGGATTGAACTCAGGCTCTTGTGCTTGCCAGGCAAGCGCTTATTCTACTGAGCCTCAGGCGACAGTGTTTTGTAGTTCAGGTTGGTCTGGGGCTTACTCCGTAGCCCAGGGTGGGCTTAAATTCACAGCAATCCACCTGCCTCAGCCTCCCGAGAGCTGGGATTCCAGGTGTACACCACTGCACCCAGATTGCTTTTCAAATTTTTATTCTGAAGTCGTCTTACTAAGTGCTGAGTTGCTCAGGCTTGAGTTGGATCCTCTGGCTTCACCCTCCCAAATACTGGGCTTATTGGTGTGTGATGCTGCACCTGATTTTCATGTAGTTTAATGACTACTGCCTGTTCGGGCGAGGTGGCATACGCCTGTAATCCCAGCACTGGGGGCGGGGGAGCGAAGTAAGGCAGGAGAGCACATGCCAGTTCAAGACCAGCCTGGACTACAATGAGAGCTCCAGGCCAGCCTTATTGTACAGCAAGACCCTGTCTGAAAAAGACAAAACAAACAGAAGACTACGGCCCAGTAAGCAGGAAATAGAACGGTGATAGGCTTGGCTTTGCACTCTGGTACGGTCAGAAACCTAAGCTGTGTTGCTGTGTGGTAAGGGGGGACCGTCTATACTCTCAGAGATGACCAAGAGGGACGTGCCTGGCTTTGCCATTGGCGGTCTGAGTGGCGGTGAGAGCAAGGCGCAGTTCTGGAAGATGGTGGCGCTCAGCACGTCCAGGCTGCCCAAGGACAAGCCCCGCTACCTGATGGGGGTCGGGTATGTTGCGGGGAGGAAGGCCAAGCCCTGCCCACGCGGAGCTGATTGCTGAGTACCCCGGGCTCTGCATGAGAGGTGGAAGGGGAAAGAACATGCTGTGGAGGAACCGAGGGCACGGCTGTCTTCGGGGGTGGTGGGGAGGGGACCTGGAGGCCTGCCCCAGGCCTCAGCCGCTCCGCTCCCCTCTCCCCAGCTATGCCACTGATCTGGTGGTCTGCGTGGCTCTTGGATGTGACATGTTCGACTGTGTGTACCCCACACGGACGGCGGTGAGGGCCTCGGCCGAGGGCCAGGAGGGCAGGGAGGGCAGGACAGGGAGGTGCAGAGCCCGATGACCCTCTGTTCCTTCCCCTTTCTCGTCCCCAGCGCTTTGGCTCTGCCCTGGTGCCCACCGGGCAGCTGCAGTTGAAGAAAAAGCTGTATGAGAAGGACTTCGGCCCCCTAGACCCTGAGTGCCCCTGCCCCACCTGCAAAAGGTGGGTGATGAGGCTGAGTGTGCTGGCGCATGCTGTGTGAGAAGGACTTTAGCCCCTAGACCCCGAGTACCCCTGCCCCGCCTGCGAAAGGTGGGTGTTGAGCCTGAGTGTGCTGGCGCATCTTCAGCAGGCTAAGGCAGGAAGATCACTGCAGGGTCGAGGCCAGGCTGGGTCACATAGTAAGACCCTGTCTCAACCCTCCCCCCAAAAGCAATGAAGTTAGTGGGCTCAGGGCTGGGCTGGTCCCTGCTCAGCCACTACCTCCTAAACTGCAGGCACACCAGGGCCTTCCTGCACACCCTGCTACACAGTGACAACACAGCCGCCTTGCACCACCTCACCGTGCACAACATTGCCTACCAGGTGTGTGGCTACCGAGGGCAGTGGGGAGGGGCGGGCAAGGGGCACCGGGCCCTGGCACCAGCTCTGATGCAGCACCCCTACAGCTGCAGCTGATGAGCGCTGTCCGTGCCAGCATCGTGGAGAGGCGCTTCCCTGACTTCGTGCGCAGCTTCATGAACACCATGTATGGTGACCAGAGCCTTTACCCACCCTGGGCCACTGAAGCCCTGGCCTCTGTGGGCATCACACTGAGCTGACCAGGCTGTGCTGAGGGAACTTGGGGTAGAGGATACTGATGGAGTTTTTTAAATGTCTTTTAAAAAATATTTTAACTTAGCATGTGTTGTCTGAGTCTTCCTGGGCAAGGTAGCATGTGTGGGGCTCCATATCGGTCTGAGCGTCACTGTGGTTAGATATCCTCCCTCCGGTTGGAGGGGTAAGCAAGCCACTCCGGAGGCTGAGGCAGGAGGGTTGGAAGTTCAAGCTCAGCCTGGACAGCTTAGTGACATAGACCCCATCTCAAAATAGAAAATAAGGGCCAGGGAGATAGCTCAGTGTCATAAGTGCCTGCCTGGCAAACACAAGGTCCTGAGTTCAATCCCCGGTACCACAAAAAAAAGAAAATAAGAGCTAGGCGTGGTGGTGCACTCCCTGTAATTGCAGCACTCTGGAGGCTGAGGCAGGAGGATCACTGTGAGTTCAAGCCAGCCTGGGCTACATAAATGAGTTCAAGGCCAGCCTGCATTACATGATGACACTCTGCCAAAAAGAAAATTAGAAAACAATGTAGATCAGTGTGAAGCTCTCAGATTTCATCCTAGTTGTGGGGAAAGAAAAAGTAGTAATCATGGCCACTGGTAACTGGAAGCTACTTGTCACAGCCCAGGATGTAGGACATGGCCTCAGAGTGGGTGCTGCACCCTTTCTCCTGTGGCACAGACCCCCGCCCCCCCCAGGAGGTGGCAGCTTGGCTTCGGTGCTCTCGCTCAGCCTGGATTTTTCATGGCTTCCCCTCGCCCTCAGCGAGTGCAGTCACTAGGTGCCTTCGGGCTCGAGCTCACAGTAGCCCCTGAGCTGGGTGCCTAGTTCTCTGGCACTGCTTTAAATGTAATCTAGGCTGGCCTCAAACTTGTAGGCATCCTCCTGCCTCAGTCTCCCGAGTTCTGGATGATAGATGTGTGTCACCAAGCCTGTCTAATCCTATCCTCCCCTCCTCTTTCTTCCCCTCCCCTCCCCTCTCCTCTTTCTTTCTGAGACAGTCTCACTGTGCAGCTCAGGCTGGTCCTGAACTGGCAGTGATCAGTGCTGGGATTACAGGCGTGTGCCCCATGCCTGCCCCAGTTCTTTCAACATTAGGGTCTGTGTGTGAGGCTGTGTCCATCTGCCCTCTCAGTTGCCTTCTTGTCAAGCTGCTGTAACAGAATGCCATAACCTGATGGGGCCACGTGCTCAGGGTTACAGTGAGCTGTCTCTCTGTTGCTGCCTCCAGTGTACAAAGAGAAGAGCAGCTCCTGGGGGTCTCGTATAAGGCCCCTAATCCAATTTACAGGCTGTGCCCTCATGATGTGATCACTTTCCTCACAATCCCATTATATTGAGGACTTAGCTTTCAATATAGGAATTATCAGGGATCAGGCATATTCAGACCATAATAATCACCCAGTAAGCGGGTTGCATCAGATGTACCCATGTGAATGACTGCAGAGCGGCTTCCCTAAAAACAGAGGCTTTTTTTCTTTTGATCATGGAAATTGAACCCCCACATTGAGCTACATACTCTATCCTTTGTAAACTTTTTTTTTTTTTTTTTGCAGAACCGGGGATTGAACTCAGGCCCTTGCACTTGCCAGGGAAGCGCTTATTCTACTGAGCCATCTCCCTGGCTCCAAACTTTTGTTTTAAGACAAAGTTTTATTAGTTCACTTAAATTGTCCAGGCTGGGATCACATTTTGCAGTCATCCTGCCTCAGCCTCCCAGAGTGAGTGCTAAGAATTACACAGTGTGCTGGACGGATGGGCAATCTGTCCAGCAGAACTAAAATGTTTTTGTTTTGTTGTATTATAGAGAAGGGTCTACAGGGTGTTCAGAGTCTCACTAGTAGGTCAGACTCGTAGTAATCCACCTGTTTACAGCCTCCTAAGAGCTGGGATTACAGGCACGCACCATCACACCCAGTCCCAGTTGCAGTCTCAGTGCACCCCAGGGGTGGGGCCAGCAGGGCAGGCCCGGGGATCGAACCCCTAGCCCCTGCGCCTGCTTGCAGGTGCTTTAATCCACTGGCCTATTTGGCCAGCCCTTAGAACTAAACTTTGAAACTGAGAAAGTAGCACCTGTTGGGACTACAACTTAGGGAGCAGATGCTCCAGGTGTACAGTTTTTTTTTTTTAATTATTTTTTATTTTTTTATTTTTATTTATTTGAGAGAGAGAGAGAGAGAGAGAGAGAGAGAGAGAGAGAGATGTGTGTGTGTGTGTGGCCAGCTCAGCCCACCAGGGGGCGGGGCTGGCTGGCATGTGGTGCTGGGGGATTGAAC